CCTCCACCATTGTCGAAGGAGAAAAATATGGGTGTGGCAACTTTAAAATAACACTCTACTATAAATGCCGAGAAATAGCAACCTTAGACTTTTAAGTGTCTTAATTTGACATTCAGTCGTTCAATTTTAAGTAGATCAAATGAAGTTTCTTTTTAAATTGTGGGGAAATAGGGTGGGGATATATTATAAGTCTAAATTTGACTTTTCGATGTAGATAAAATAATTTTTTGTCAAATTGGGGAAACAAAATTAGGTGACTGGGGGGGGGGGTGTCTCAACACGCATCAACTCAACCATGCTTGGGGCTGAGGATAAAGAAATAAAGCAATGACAACTCAGATATCCGGAAATGGGACATATCCCAGACTTGTAAGCGGTTTCCAAAGGTTAACATTAACTTTTTTAGGTCACAATGAAAACTCTTGGTGCATGCGACCTGGAGGATGGAAAGGTACTGCCATGAAACCAAGAGTATACCGGCCACATGATGTTTGTGAATTTTAGTCCAATATTAAATTATGAAGGATTTTTCAATATTTAAAAAAAATATAGATATATTTTTGTAAAAGTTTTAATGTATTTTTTTAGTAATAGTTTTTAATATAGGCCTATTTTGATATTAGACCTATATACAGTAGTAGTGGTAGTTTTTAATTATATTATCATGTTATAATTTTTTTTTTATAAAAGAAGGGTTAGGGAATTCCTCCTAATCCTCTAGGCAGCATCTAACAAACATAAGACATAAAATTGTTGATGCGAAATCCTGGTTTAAATGAATAGCACCTGGCATATTGTAAGCCTTGAGTACCCTGGGAACGCACCACCGGGCCCCTGAATATTTTATTAAACTATTGGACCAGTAGCCAATGACATATTAAAAGTGCATAGGCCTAACTAATAAATACAAACAAATGTTACAATGCGATTAAAAAAAAATAAAAAAAAAATAAAAAAAACCGGCTTTTCAAGCCTGCACGAACGCCCATGCGCGTCACCTTGACCAGGTCCGGTTGTATTCCGAATTAGGAACAACTACAGGCCTAAAACACAAAAAAGAAGGAGGCAGAGACTTCTTGGCTAAAAAACAATCTTCGTCGGAAGCAATCAAATTAAAGCATAGGCACAGAAATAAACCATGGTTATTTGGTTATTTAAAAAAAAAAAGTCAATCAATCCACAGTAAAGTTCATAACGTTTGCTACGGCCAAGGATTCTGTTTCAATCTGTTTCATTAACTTTTAAATTTGTATGACATTTTAAATTTATGAATATAAATGACCCCGAAATAAAACATAATAATCTCAAACAATATCGTACTCTGTCACGCGATTTCTATATTTCACTATCTAGGCCTATGCAGATATGTCAACGATCATAATAAATCAAGGGTGACATTATGATTAACACAATACTATTTCTTTCCACTATAGAACTAATTAAAAGAAATACGATCTCCTGAAAATGGCCTGCGATAATTATGACAGCTATAGCTGCTGTGATTTACTTAATACTACAATGCCAAGGGATCATTTATGAAGGAATTATCTTGACCGATTTCGATACATAGCATTTTACGCCGAACATTTTTTATTACGATGCATTGCATAATTCATCAATAATAATACTTTGTAAAACAATAAAAGACCAGTAGAACAAAATATACTTATATATAAAATGAATTTTAAGTTAAAAGTGAAGTGTTCTATTATATTAAAGGTCGAATGAAATTGATGCAATTGATGCGATTCCACATATGTCTCGGTTATAGAATGGTTGACAGACATGAATATGAGACATTGAATTTTATTGGTATGAAATTTTCGTTAGCACCTGCTACCTGCATCAGGGTACGAGTACCTAAATATAGCAAAAAGTATATACATGTTAACAATTTAGAGATAACGATGGATCATGATGTAGTTATTGTGATAAACAATGTAAGTCACAACATGGAGGAATAACTGATACGGAAGCCATTTTTAAAAATAAACTATTATAGTGTCTTTGCTCGGGGTGGCGCCAGCGGAGGTGAGGGCTTGTCAAGGAAGATCCCCACCCAAATATTGCCAAAATAACGGTTTTGATTGGCAATTTAATTGTGGTCTAAAAGCACAATTTTGCCATAAGCCATAAAAACCCCCTTGAACCCTACCAGAGATATTATTCTGGGACCCCCACTGACGCTCTAAATGGCAAATTTCCTGTTGGCAAATTTCTGGAGCCACCTGTTTTGCTACTGCTTTGTGCTGAAGGCTACCACTGAAAACTGATTTTTTTTTTTTTTTTTATTACTTATGAAAATTGATACTGTAGCTAGGCCTCTCTGTTGTCCACACAGTTTTTGTGACAAATGAATTTAATGTGGCCATGGTCTATTTAATCTTTTAAAATTTCATTCATTTAATCTTTTAATACTTCATTTTATTTTGTAAGGGTTTCCCATAGAGTTGAACTTTTATTCTTTTAATTTTTCTAAGGCCATTGTTGGTCGGGCTCGCTAGAAATCAGTAAATTCATTTTTTTTAAATAGGCCTATTTAATTTCTGAATCCCGCGGTCAAAATTAAAAACTCTTTGAGAATTAAATAAGTTAATACGAATACACCAAGCTGTACGCGCGCATATGGGCTTCGAATACCACTCTTCATAATAATACCACTTCCGGGTTTCTATTATTGAAGTGTGCGTAGGTGGCCAGATAAGGAAAATTAGAAACACGCTATATAGTACCTAAAAAGTTTTCATACAAGCCTCAATTAAAAAAAAACATGCAAAGATTTTAATTAATTAATAATAATTTAATGTTTCATACTTAAGTTAAACATCAAATGAAATCCATATAAGTATAAAGAGAATAGTTTTCATTAACGTTTAAAAATATATGTCAGTAACAATCTTGACCTTTGGATATTTATTTTGTAAACTGACAAACGGGAAGAAATGAGAAGGTCGATTCAGTAACTAGGTTTGGCCTAGTTAACAATTAACTGATTTACTCATTGCAAGAGGAATTCTTTAACTTATAACAGAAGGAAGTAAAAACAAATAGTTAAGTTGATAGAACTAATGACTGAAAACAACGAGAAGCCCGATGAAGGCCTAGGCCTAGCCCCGGTGGATTCTTCAGCAACAAGTTGGTCGTCGGACACTACCAACAGTACGCAGAATAGTTGGACCAAACAGAACTTCGCTCAAGTGCTTTTGACATTGCAGGCTAGGTTATTAAATAGATTTAACGATTTTCCTCCTGTAACGGAAGAAGAAATTGTAAAACAAAGTAAAGCTATATGTAGAGATTATATTTACTCTAAATTAAAAGCACTCAAACTTGTGCATAAAGAGATTCATCATGACGGAAAGTGTAGCGATATATCACGGGAGTTGATCCAAGTAGCTCAAGAGTATGAATTGATGTATCCGAATCTATTTGCCGATGTATGCAACTATTTAAGAATGAACTTCGAATATGAAGACCATGTGCAGGGAGTTTTTAATGTTGTAGCCTCTGAGATTATTGGTAGGGGGATCAGCTGGGCTAGGATCATAGCCTTGTTTGCTTTCACAGCAACATTGGCTGTTGACTGCATTCAACAGGAGAACACACGATTTGCTAACTTGGTTGTAGACTGCATGCAAAAGTTCACGAAAAAAAGGCTTGCTCCTTGGATACTTCAACGAGGAGGATGGGTATGTATAAAAAGGGGGAAGTGCTAATTGATCCTTATCCCTACCGTAGACCTACACCTTCATTTCAAATTCATTAAAAATCTAATTGCAAAGATATTTGCTTTGGACCCGAGGGAGTATTTTCAATCCGGCATGGAGTTCAGGAGGGCGGGATACAGGGGGACATGCCCTTATTAACGCCTGCCATTTTTAAATTGAAAAAAAAAACACCAAATATTACAAAATGGAATATTTGTTTACAAAATACAATATGTCCCCCTCCCCAAGGAGAAATTGTTAAGAATAATAAGCTACTGGAGTCTCATACAGTACATGGCATTTAAGAAAGGTGTATGTTAATGCCAAGCAAAAATAGAAATAAATTCATGCATAGATTTTCCAAAATGCATGTTTCATAAAAACAAACAAGATAAAAAAACACCTCATAAAAGTCGTTAATAACCTGTCAAATGTCATTTGATAGTCTTCTTTGTATCATTTGTTTTTGTCCAAACTATCAATTATATAGGCTTATCCAATTCAAGCCAAAATTTGATATAATATATAATTAAAAAATAAATATTATTTTTCCCCTGACGAATCTCTCCTAACGAATCTCTCTCCTAACGAATCTCTCCTAACGAATCTCTCCTAATGTATCTCTCCTAACGTCTCCTATACTTATCCTGCTGCAACTTTGATTGACAGATCTAAAGATTGAATTTAAAAAGAAAACTTGCACTACAGCCCTTCAAATGGCAAAGTATTACAGTAATGCATATAGACTTGCATTCCACTTCAATCTACTCTAGATTCTATCATTGCTTTGAACTATAATCTCTTTGGTGTATTTTTTTAAAGCAAAATGACAGATTTGTTATTAATTTCTATTGCCTTTTTTCACTTAATGTTGACATGCATTTTTAATGTCAGTTTTGCCACAAATATTTAATGTTTTGTCGGTTACAGAGTTGCTATTCTCTTTTATATCGGTAGATATTTGAATAGTAAAGGTATTGTCAAATTTTTTTTTTTTTTTTTTTTATGTACAAGCTTTTCATCTGAAGTTCCCATGCTACATAAGAGTTTGTTTTTCCTGATAACATTTGATTAGCTTTCCCAACTGGGGGAGAGGATATCTCTCTATAATAGGACCCCCACAAGCACCACTGATGTCTCCCCTTTCAGATTTAGAAAGACTTCAGTTAAAACATGAGTAGTTATTCCTGCAATGCTGCTTAATTGTTTATTAAGTAAAGTAGACCTTTTCAAATTTGTTTTTTCTAGCTTGGTATGGTCCATTATCTGCATAACAATCACATTATTCAACCAAAGATGTGGAAGGTACGTTGCATTGCCTCTGCCGTTGGCTTCGTGGCTACAACAGCAATAACGATTCTTGAAACAATCGCCGCAGCAGTGATAGGAGGTGATGATCAGATATTGAATTGACGAAAGGTTTAGACTACGGTCTTAAATTCTCTACCATGGAATTAGACGATGCAATAATCTCTGTTAATCTGATTTTTGTGGATATTGATATCCAAACATTACAAGGAAAATTCAATAAAGCAATTTTTTATGACTGTCAGTTGTACATGATTTACATCCACACGTCAAATTATTTTTTACAGATTTTTTAGATTTTTAGTATTGCATGAAAATGCACTGCTGAATAATGTTTTCCATAGATGAATGCAAGTCAATACCCAATTCTATTAAATTATTTTGTATCAGTAATTAGTTTAAGTTCAAGGTAAATTGTTTCTTAAAATCACTTTCTTAACCAACTCAATGTCTTTCAGGTGGTAGATAATGTGTTCCTCACTCGTTCTAAGACCTTTAATTGTATGTAACTTGTCATCAGTTTTGGTTTAGCTGTGTTTCTCCAACTATTCAGTGTATTGTTCCACAGGCAATATCAGTGTTGTGTTGTTTTAAATTAAAGTCCTTTTATTAATGTCGAACAGTTTATGTAACTGCCAATATTGTGGGGACTCAAATAAAAGAAAGTGTATAAACATAAAAAAACATTGAACCAATACTGTATGTTTGTTTTTGCCCATTCTTAATATGCTCACTGTAGCAAACAATATGTGTTTATATTTTTATTTATGTCAATTTCTGAGATTTATTATTCATACATTAATTTAAATGTGTACAGTGCTATTCCTGAGAAAAAGCAAACAAAATTCCAATAATCTGTCTTTACCAATGAAATCTGTCATACATTTCTATTGACATCCCTTCCAAGGTCGAAATGAATCGAAGATCATACATTTAAATATATAGGTATTTATGCGGAATCCCCTTTGATGAAGAGGATTGCGTTGCAGACAATTTTTGAATACTACAGTACAGATGATTAATGAGTTAAGGAGTGATATATGCCAAAGATTATCTGAGCATCAGTCAACCTTAATTCAGATTATGAGAACAGAAGAATCGTTTCTTTCATTCGCATTTCTCGTGTGTCATTAACCTCCCTTGAGTATAATTTAAATTCCTCCGTGATTGTCTTTTTTTTCCATCTTGACCATGAATTTCCATAACTTTTTTTTTTGAATTTTCTGTTTCTATTTAATTTAGTGTTGCATATTCAAGTTCAGCAATTTACAAAACCTGAAGATGTACTGTATTTAACTCTAACATGATATACTAAATATATTCTGATGTAGAAAAACCTACTAGAAGGGTATTGTTATCAGTGTTGTGGGCAAAGATTAAAAGCTTTCATATTTTTAATCACAATTTACATGTACACATGCAGGCCTATGCCACAGGTGAATAAAGTGTAAAGAGTCTTTAGGGGCATATTCTCTGTCTAGCATTTAATTTTTTTACATAAAATAATTTATACTGTCATTGTAAATTTTGGTGCCACACCACTCAAGGAAATTAAAACAATATCTGCCTCTGATTGTGTCCCCCAAGGTTTTTTACTCTGCCACACCTAATAAGGAGAATCTAAAATAGTGCAGCCATAATGGTTCACTGTATGTATATAAATTGGTATAGTTTTTTTTTTTAAATATGGTAGTACTACAGTATACAGTTGTTTCAACTACAATATGTATACTGTATTTTACTGAGCGCCTATCCTTACCTAGATATCTTTCTAATTTTGGGAAATGCTGTTTTGTGCAGCAGTCTGCATTCTGGCAAACTGCTGCATAAAACTGGCGTAGTCACTCGCGTATTTCAAATCTCTCAGGTTGGTTAACTATATAAATATATTATAACATTATTAAATAATCATTATCTTCAAAAAATTCCATTTAAATTTTTTTTTTGTAAAAGCTGTATGTATTATGAAACAGAACTGTTCTTGCTCGGAACATTTTGATCTCTATCTACTGATTAGTTCGTTGATAAAGATCTCTGTAGAGATCGAAAGTTCTGAGTTCATCATTATTTAAATATTATTATTAATTCATTGAAGAATTTAATCTGGTTCTGTAAAATTATAGCTGGATTACTTTTTCATTTTTATTAGAACCAACAGAGATAATAATAATAATAAATATTACCTCAGTGACGTTTCTGGTCAAATCAGGTACCTTTCCTCAGACTGATTACATGTTGGGATTGGTCTTATCCCGGTGTTGATGCTTAGTTACGCCCTCTAACGTCCGGTGTTTGACGTAGCATGTTCCCCTCGGCCCCCTGCCTTTGCTTTCTTGATTTAGTTGTCATAAATGTACAAAAGTTTATACCCCCCTATATCTCTGTTCATGTTTTTAGGTTGTTTTCTTATGAAAATGGCTTCTTTTATTTTCCTTTTTTCTTCACTTTCTTTTTCCAAAATTTTAACATCCCAATTGGTAACATGATTAAACTGGACCATGTGGTTGGTTATTGCGGGTTTATGTGGCACATTCAACACAGACGATCTTGCTGTTCTGGTTTTAACTCCAGTACTGAATGATGTCACATCTTTTTTGTGCTCACTGATCCGTTTACTAAGCGTTCTTCCCGTCTCGCCAATATATACATTATCACAGTTCAAACATGATACCTCATAATAAACATCAACACCGGGATAAGACCAATCCCAACATGTAATTAGTCTGAGGAAAGGTACCTGATTGGACCAGAAACGTCACTGAGGTAATATTTTTTATTATTATTAACTCTGTTGGTTCTAATAAAAATGAAAAAATAAGCCAGCTATTATTATTAATATCATGGATTTAAATATTGTTACTAAGGCTGTAAATTAGTCATTGACTGTACTGTATATTGGAAATATTATAATACTGTAGCTGATATATTTCTGAAGAAAAAGATGTGTATGTGTAAAGTTCGTCAACAAGAATACTTAAAATGTCTCTTCAGTACTCAAAAAAGAAATGTTTTGATGTATACTCAAATTATTCCTTACTTTTTTTTTTTAGTTATTAGCTTTCAATGGAAAAAGAGATGTATATTTTTTTTCCCATTTCATTTCTTTAGGCATGAGCGCCAAGAATATGCCAATAAGTGAAATTAATCACTTAACCCCCTACGGTACTGGGTTCTTTAAAGTGCACACGATCCAAATGCGTACACTTATCCGAGAAGACTTGTTCCACCACCGGAACCATTGGCGAGTGAGCCGTTCTCAACCAGCGCCGATATTAGAGCTGAAGGTTACGGTGCCCCTGACTTAACCGCTCTGCCAATCAAACCTATTGGCAATATTACTGCTGCTATATTTGCTTGCATTGTTAATTTGGCTGGTTAATCACTGTAAGGATTTTCATAGCATGACGCTGTGAACCAGTGTCTATGCAACTTGAAAGCTCGTTCCTCCCTTTAAATGTGCAATCCAATGTTTTAATTGAATTTTGAAGGGGTTTGTAGCACATATATGAATTTTTAAATGTTTCCGATGAATACATTGATGTTTGTCTAGGTGTAATTTTTGGCATTTAAACGTCAACATAACTCATTCCACAACAGAAGGTGTAATACAAGTGACTTGCATGGCATGGATTAATGAGAATTATCAGTATGCTCATCCAAGCAAGATGAACATATAGCAATTAGTTCCTAGCTTGATGAAAAGATTTATACCTCGGGCCTGCCCGATACATTCCCGAGATGTTTAGAATAGAATGCCTGCCCTGGAGGCGTGGTACCAACATATTTGCTTACGTGGATAAAGCAACAATGTCTGATTACATGACGTCATAATAATAAATTTTAGTTGATTAAATATTGCAAGTTCTGTTGCATTTTGTTCAAGTATGCCAGTACTGTTATACCTGTCTCTTATACACATCTAGATGTGTATAAGAGACAGGGCTTAGCTCTACGTACAATTTAAGTTAATAAAGTTTACTAGAAAAGATATTAGATACATACGTACATACATATATATATAGGCCTATATGGCGCGGCCTACAGAGTATTATCTTTCGTACTGTTAATATTTCTCCGATTAAACAAAGCTCATAGCTAAAAAAAATGCATCGAGGGTACCATTTCGAATATTCGCGCAACTAGCTACTCAAGTTAATTCGACCGAATGAATTTCTGTTGACCTGGAAATTTCCACGCTTCATCGCACTTCCGCCTAATGAACTCGCTGTGGGTAAAAATGACGTCATTGCACAACGACCTCCTTAGGAGAAACCGGTTTCTGTTCGTGTTAAAATTAAACTGCAATGCGGTCTTTGTTTATAAACAATTATGAAAACCGGTTTCACTGAATACCATACTTTTGTATTTTGTCAGTAGAAACAGGCCCATAACCTTACTCCAGATGCCTGTGTAAAACTATCCTTTAAAAAGCTTTCTACATCCACAAATCTACTGAGCTTCATGGATTTTGCAACTTTTTCATGTACCTACCAGGTGTTAAATACACAATACACATATTGGAGGTGTCCCCCAAGTAACAAAACTTCATCCACTGTGGTCCCAAGACATGGTTAATGATGTTTCATGTCATTCTAAATCAAAATATCTCAAATTATGTTGATGATGGTATTCAAGTGATATTAACTGCAGTTTTAATTATTTAACGGTCTTCAAGGTAAAAATGAATTAGATGGAGACAATGAAACTTTGTAACTTGGAATGGTGAAGAATAGGCTAGGCTTATAACTGTTGCAACCAGTGGCACATCTCAGTGGCGGCGCCAGGGGGGCTTAAGTCCCCCATCAGTCTGGTCAAGACCAAAGCTTGTCAGGCAGTCGGACCAAAAAGAAAAAAATGTAGGCCTAGTTTTAAATTATATCCTACAGCCGCCACTGGCACATCTAGGGGGGGGGGGGGGGATGCGGACACCCCGTCCAGTCTCCCCATTGAAAATAAATCAGCTCAAGTAGATAAAATTTACCTCCTATCATTTTAATTTGCGAGCTAGCACCCCCTCACATCGGACCTCCCACCCCCACCATCAGGTTGCAACTGAGAAAGGTTGCAACTGAGAAAGGTTCCCCTGCACACATTTTTATTTGCTTGTTTTGTTTGTTTTGTTTTTGCCCGCTTGAAACACACAATGGAGAATAGAACCATGGAAATTGCCAGATTTTGGCGCGATTCATTCTGTTTATGGCCTATCATCTTGCTCATTTTGAAACCATCCCCGTGCACATTGATCAGGGTTTGCATTTTTTTCTATACGTTATTGAAAATGTATTCATCTAACTTTTAATATGTTTTTTTAAATATATTTTTAAATATTTTTTTTCCTCACAGGCCAAATTAATTTGCCATGTAGGCCAAATTTATTAAGAACCAGGGCGCTACGTCATAAAAGCATGCCTCCCCAAGGTGTCATTTTCCTCAGATGTTTTTGGTGATATGAAACTGCTATCAAGTTACTTTGGTGAATGAAACAGAGACATCATTGTCTTGAATGAACACAAAACAAACTAGATGAATTATATATCAGGTGTTAAAATGCCAGGCAGAGTGAAGGAATGTGCCTACAAATATGATATACAGTACAGTTATACCTTATTTTGACAGCTAGTGCCTGTCATTCTTTGGGCCCTGAATTAACCATCAACCCCATCTCAGACTCCACTCAGCAGCACCAAACTTTTAACAGTTTACTTTTTACAGTCCCCTTGGAATGACTACTGTAACTTCCTACCAAGAAAGATTATGGTAGAGAGGGCACAAGATGCATGGCAAGTGCATTGATCCCAGGAAGCTCACCTGCATACCAACCAAACAGGGGGGTGCCGCAGCCACTTCAAGACATGAGACACTTGCGCTACCTATTTTACTGAAAATTCTTATGGACTTGAACTACCATTTAACAAAATAGCACTGTGCTCTAATAGACAACAGGAAAAAGGCCACTCAATAGTGCCAGAGAGGGCGCAATATTGACTGGTTCCCGATGGCAAAACATGTTCCGTCCGGTCGCGATCTTGTGGCGGTACCAAAGGTAGGCTTAGCAAGGGGCTTAGCACCCAATCTAGCTTGAAATTCCCGGTAACATCATGCGGAAAATCGTGGCACTTTGGCACAGGATAGCACAGGGACTTTAACTACCAATTTCAGCCTGGTTATTTCCCACACTTGCGCTACAAATTCCTCGCAAATATAACCCATAAAAGCTGCAACTCCCCCCATATTTCCCACACTTGTGCTACCAAGTCCTCAAAAATATACCCCATAAATGCGGCACATCCCCGTATAGAAATATTTAAGAGTAAGTCCCCGGGGCATTGATTCTGTGTTGAGATACAAGTTTCAACATCAGCCTTCATCAATGCTCAATAATAAACCAACTTTCAGATGCTCTTCCAGTTTTCCCCACATTTCCAAACTGCTGTTAATTAATGCTTTCCTCACGAAGGTGAATACAATATTTGGAATCTTTATTTATTTATAATTACTATATCATTTTTATTGTTATTTTTAGATTATTTCTTTGTACAGTATTTGATTTCAATGCCAGGCTGCTCCCACATTTAAGTACGTTTTACTTTCACTCTGATACAATTTTACACTGTTCTTAGAAAGGTCCTAGCTTATATGTTCCGAATAATCGTGTTGTGCGTCACGATGAGAAATTCTGGTTTACCCTCTTTACTGGAAACAGATCGTATCTCGATTAACCACATATGAATTCAGCCATGAATATCGTCTATTTAATTTTCTTGCGACAAGGGACACGCACAGAAGGAGGACTTGTGTCACATTCATTTACATTTCAAAATAACAAGAGGATGAATGACGTATAGAGTCCAACATTACAGGATGTTGAACTAAGAAATCTAGCAACACAGTCCTCAGGTGGCATGAGGCTGAGGCAAGTGTTTACTGTTCGTAGGTAAGGTAACATGTTTGTTTCAAGCTGGATTGTATCCAAACACACGGTACTATTAACCATTGAAAGATTGCAAAACAGGGATGGAAAAGAAAACTTTCTCTAAAATCCTACTTTGTCATGAATGGACTAATGTCAATATATTAACCCACAGATGGTATTCATGATGGCCGGAAAAAGGAAACTACACAAGCTCAACCCTTTGTCATAATTTTCCCTGGGGGAGTAAGCACAATATATGTAACATCACTACATTCATACTGGTCTTAACCTTTAATATTCAACTGTCACAGACTTCCTTTACATTATATTGCAAGTTGAATATGTATAAAACATGTATAAAAAGCATTTATATATGGTTGATACTTCACAATAGTGACTTATCATAGAAAAAAAATTAATGTACATTAATTGAATAAGCAAAATAACAGCCCAAAGCAGGCCATAGGATTTCAAATTTCATAGGAAACTACTTTTGGTTTCCGTGCCCCGTGATCATGGGAAACTATCGGAAACTGTTTTTAGTGTTCATGGAAAAGTCAAGGGAATCCATTTTCGATACTACTAGGCCTAGGCATAAATATAAATAATTGCTTTTTAGTAAATTAGGGCAATTTGGTCTAAGCCGAAGTCCAGGCCTAAAAAAGGCAGTTTTCCACTAGCCCAATTTATTCACGCGAATTGCAAATTTTCGCCTATACGCATGCGCAGTTTAATTTTTTTTTAAAGATTATTAATTGCGTAAGTGTATTGGTCATATTTTTCGATTCGCGTGAATAAATTCGTCTAGCCTAGGCCTAGTGAAAAACAGTCTTTTTAAGGCCCAGCCTAGGCTTAGTCTTAGACAATATTGACCTTTACAAAACATTGTCAACAAAGATAAAAATGTTTACTATTTGTAGGTGAGGTCCTGACTAGTCGCAAGCATGGGTAATTCCTAGTAGTAGTAGAGCAGGCAGTAGAGAGGATGCAACCTTTTGTTTTTGTTTTTTTTTTTGTTCTAGCGCGGAAGCCATTTTCTCGCGATACGATCGGATGCTATCCGTGATAATAGGGTCTCAGATAATTTCGGCCACCGCTCATATGATTTGCCGTTCAGAATTAAAAGTATTTGGCTCACACTTTTCCACTGAAATTATGATTGTGGTAAGTGTTTGTTAATTCTGGCTAGGCCTAGCTAGGCTAGGCTATGGCCAGACATGGGAAACGATTTTTCGTTTCCATGACTTGTTGGTCACACGGTACCGGAAACGATCGTTACCGTCAAATCCGGTCGCCAGACAAAGGATGCACAAGGTCATTAATTATGACTCAATATATGACTAATATGCAAATACATCATATACGGTTAAAAAGCCCAAGGGCTAACATCACTGTATTTACATACAAAATCGATTATAAATAATTATATAAATTTTGAACACACAAAACAAAAGAAAACAATTCATTAAGCCAATAAGTAAAATTATTATACTAAGCTCATTTAAACCATCTGATTCAATTTAATTTAATATAATTTAATTGCCAAAATTGATCATTACTATTATTAATTCAGTTGTAAGAATTCTTAATGAATATACCTGAATTAATAATGTTAATTAAACATTCCTATAAGAGTGAGGATTCCAGATTGTAACATAACTGTATTTACATTACATACAAAATCAATTACAAATAATAAGAAAGTCTACTTCAGACTTCGTGGGTTATCCATATGTACATCCAATCCAATGATTCTTTCTTTGCCTTGTCAAAATATGATTGAATACATATAAAAATAGACTCACTTCAATTCTTCTTTCAGTAATTCAGACGGATTCAAAAATGCAATATCAACTTTTCCATTTTCCTCAAGTTGTTTAATGATTACTGCAAGAAACAAAAATTGCTAACATTAGCATCTCAACCAACATCAAACTTGTCA